TGTCTTGAGGTGTGGAAAAAAAATTGGCAAGCAATATAGCAATATAGAACAAAAAGAAAGGTGATAGAGTGAAGTGGTGCTAAACTAAAGCACATAAGCAATAGTCTGTGGCTTCAAACCAATGGTTTCTCAACAAATAGTTCAATTCCTATGAATGTAAATGCTCAAGCAAAGCATGTGGCTATTGGGGTCTTTCTGAATTAAAGGAAGATAACTATTACCACTAAGATCACAAGATAAGACAACTGAACTCAAGTTAGTCTCACAAAGAGCAAGTAGGTTTAGTGAAATTTTCACTAAATCTACTTGCTCTTAAAACCTAATTTTAGATAACCCTACTTTTTTGGAAAAATAGGGTTATCTAAAATTGTTACTTTTGGTTTTTCTAAGAAATATTTTTGCAAACCAAAATAATTATTGAAAACTATTGATAAAATTCACTCTTGTAATATTAGAAAAAGCTTACGTTGGCATAAATGACGTTAGTTTTCTTATTTGCTTTAAGCACTTTTTTCACAAATATTTTTTAACGAATAAAAGTATTTATAAAAATGAAAATAAAGTTCACAAGTATACTTATGATTTTAAGACAATAAAAATTTTCGTGTCAATGAAATTCTCAATTAACATTTTCGTGTCAACGAAAGTGTTAATTGAAAATTTCAGACATGCTTAATCTACTGAATTTGCACTTGCAAGTAGTAACGATATATTCTATCAAAGTAAATGTACTTTGTTACATTCCAACCCTAAATGTTGTTTTCTCTTTTTTTCTGTTTGACACTAAGGCTCTTATCCAGTTTATAAGCTTACCTTGAACTGAATGAAAGATACCATAATTTAATTTTTGCTTAAGATTTTTGCTTTAGATTTTTAAATTTCGTTTTTTTTTTTTTTTAATTTATTTTGGCTCATATTAGATTCATTAGTAAAATGTTATTAGTCTTTATAGGGCTTCCAGTTCAAACATGTTCAAGTTCAAATGTTCAAATTTTTCAAACGTTCAAATTTTTGTCATTTTTAAAGAGGTTCAAGTTCGAATTTTTTTTTCTAAAAGTTCCAACATGTATATATATCAAAACTAGATTCCTTATTATCATTTTTTAAATCAAAACCTTTTTTAAACTTTTTAGATTTTTTTACTCTTAATTTTTATTGTGCGATACTTTTTTTCAAAAGCAACACTTTTAAAGTTTAAGTCACAATGGAATTTTTAACAAATGAACATTATGACATAGACAAACTAGAATAAACAAATGGAATTTTTAACAAATGAACATTACTTTTATGTTTTAAATTAAAATAGTGACTTGCGTTACATATTGTTCAAAAAATCCCATGGTAAACCCATAAAATAGATTGTTAAAGTTTCTGAATTAAAAAAAGAGAGAATTAATTTAGCTTTGACAAGCTAATAAAAGTTTTAGTTGTGCGAAATAAAAAAAAAGGATAAGTTTAAAGATGTAAGCACAACTACAAGATCTGAGGCATATTTCGAATTTTTTAAAGAATTACAGAGTTCAAAGTGTAAAGTTATTCTCAAAACACTCGGCTCAACAACAACAGCTATTACAAGGCATTTATAAACAATACACAAAACTTAATTTCTTAAATGCAATAACTCTGAAGCCTGAGGTTGCAACAAACATTCCTGCTGCCAAAATACAGAGAGTTGAAAGTTTTTTCAAAGATGACCATAAAATTCTATCTGAAACTTTGAGTCAACTATCAACTATTAATGAATCAGCATTCACACCATTGCTAAAAGTTAAACTTTGCAATCAGCATTTCGTGTCCAGGGATACCAAATTCCTTAAAGTTCTCAAACCATTTGTGATCTTGTCATTAAATACTTTATCTTAGTCAAGAAACAAGTTATAAGTTCTTTAAAAATGCAACTTGAAGATGAATGTAAATTTAGTCTTACATTTGATGAATATACTTCAGTAAAAAACAAAAGATATATGAACTTAAATCTTAATGAAGGATTTCAATTGCTTTGAATGATAAGAATCCAAGGTACAATGTCAGCAACAAAAGCCATTAAATTGATCAGTAATAAGCTTAATTCATTTAATTTAAATTAGGACATAGACATTGTAGCTTCTGTTACTGATGAAGCTAACTTAATGAAAAAAATTGGTCATGACGCTAAACCTGAACATCAAATGTGTTACAACCACACTATTCATTTATGTGTGATTAAAATGTTCTTTACAAAAAACATAGTTGATGCACATGGTTCTGATAATAATCCTGTTGATTGGTGATATGGAAGCTGTAGATTATGGCAAAAATAAGAAAATTGGTTAAAATTTTTTGTAGATCACCAGTGAGCAATGATGATGAACTTCAACCAAATATATTTGAAAAGTTTAGAAAAGAAAAAGCTTTGATTTAAGATTCAAGGACAAGATGGAGCAGCACTATTGATATGCTTGAATGTTTTTTGGAGGTGCAAACAGAAGTTTGATTGAAATTAGCTCTGATTAGTATGAATATTGATTTTCCTCGAAATAAAAATGAGCATGATTTCATAAATGAATTTTTTGTTGCTTTAAAACCACTAAAATTGGCCATTAATACTCTTTCAATAGGAGATGCTGATCTTTTGTATTCTGATATTGAATTTACAAGAAAAAAACTTCATGAAGCTAATACACCTATAAGTCAGCTTGTTAAACAGATATTTGAACATAAAATAATTGAAAGAAGAAACATTCATTTAATTCATCTAATGAAATACTTGTCAAATCTGAATGTCATAAATAAAAATGACCAATTAAAGATTACCAATACAAGATTATAAAAAAATACAAGATTATAAAAAACCAATACAAGATAAAAAAGACGATTACTAATCTTGCTACTAATCTCATTTAGCAATTCAGTCATCTGACTATAGCTTTGGTGCTCTGGTGCTCTGACGATGCTCTGAAGCTTTGATGATGACAAGGAAGTAAATAGTATAACTGATAGCATAAAAAGTATCAAAAATGAATTGAATTTAGCTCAACAACTCAAGCTTTTTATTAAACAATCAGACACTGAAATGAAACTTGATCATCAGGAAATTGGAACAAACCTTGTTCAAAAGGAAATGGCTGTTTTTAAGCCAGCAAAACCAGGCCCAAGTATTTATATTTACTTTTCAAAGCTCTTCAAACAATTCCTCCTACATCCATAGAAGCTAAAAAAGCTTTTTCTAGTCTTGGATTTTTTCATACTAAAATAAGAAGTTCTTTAAATGTCAAAACTTTAGATGCACTTTTTTAAAGCAAACTATGAAAAGTACTCATTGATGTTATTTACATTTGTCTTAATGATGACAAACAAATAAATATTTTTGCGCATACTTTGTATTACTTTTTTCTGATTTAACATAACTAAAATAAAGTTTGAAATAGTTTGACCTTTTTTCCGTAATAGTTCAAATATGTTCAGGTTCGAACTTTTAAAAAAAAACTCTAACTGGAAGCCCTAAGTCTTTATGTATCATGCACAATTTTTTTTTAAATGTCTGTTTTACAAACTCTTTTGCTTCACTGTTTTTAGTTAGTTCTTCATTTATTTCCTTGATAGTTATAATGTTTACAATTAATGATTTGATGTGTTTGGTTAGGGTGTGTAAAAATATTGTTGTACTGATGTGTTGCTGTTGAGTGTTCACCCTTACCAAGAGTTGTCCATTTGTCAACTATATCCAAGATATCTCCCATATTGAGAATTTTAATTTTTTTTATTTGTTAACTTTTTCTAAAATTTTTGATCTTTTTTTTCTTTTTTTTTTGAAACTTTAATAATTTTTATTTTGGTTTATTAAGAAGTGATTTAGTGTGGTTATTAAGGTGGAAAAATAATTGTCTTTTGGTTTATTAAGAAATGATTTAGTGTGGTTGTTAAGGTGGAAAAATAATTATCTTTTGGTTTATTAAGAAGTGATTTGATGTGGTTGTTAAGGTGGAAAAATAATTGTCTTTAAAAACAATTTTTTGTAAAAATAGAAACAAAAAAAAAAAAATTATTCCATTGCAGCAGGAAGTTTTAATTTAACTTATTTAAAATTTAAAGTAATTTAAAAGAATAATCTATTCAATAATTTTGAGAAAGACACGGAAAAATAGTTTTAAACGTTTAAATTTATCATAAAAATAACAAGCCTACATTAAAAAAAAAAATAAAAAAAAATAAGATTTTTTGTTAATTTACACTAAATGTATTTATTTTAAACAATCATTATAATTAATTTTTTTATTTTTTATTTTATAAAAACTTTAGAAAAGATCAATGATTAGAAGTCTTAAACAACGTAACAATTATAATGTGACAGTTTTTTTTTTTGATTGTATTTAAATCAAAACATCATAAAAAAAAAATTATAAGCATGGTCAGTTAAACCATGCAACGCACCCAATATCTGTCCAAGCCTTATATATATATATATATATATATATATATATATATATATATATATTATATATATATATATATATATATATATATATATATATATATATATATATATATATATATATATATATATATATGCATATATATATATACATATGTATATATAAACATATATATATATACATATGGGGTGTTAGCCAGAAATATTTATCGTATTTTTATGATATTGGGAATATTTATTGTTAAAGTTCTACAAAATACTAGGAATTTAATATTGTCCTATTACTTCAAAAAAAAAAAATTTAAATTTAAAAATTTTAAACCCATTGGTAAACATACTGGCTAACACCCTGATATGTAAGTATGCACACACTCATATATATATATATATATATATATATATATATATATATATATATATATATATATATATATATATATATATATATATATATATATATATATATATATATATATATATATATATATATATATATATATATATATATATATATATATATGTAATACTCACACACATATATATACATATTTATTAAAAAAATTTACTTGTATTGATATTTTGTTTTAAGGTGTTCCCCATGACACATTAGAAGGTCACAGAGGAAGGTTTAACGTCCAACACAAGAGGTACATAATGCTAATGCGTAAACCTGTCTTTTTATTTTACTTCAGCTTTGATATTTAACTTTTTATTTACAGAATGAAGACTTTTTGCACATGTGCAGGAGGAATGACATATATCACGAATCTTATTGAAATTCCAGTTATTCCTGAGGTTTGATACTTTTTTTATTTGTTCAATTTTCAAACAAATTTTTATCAATTTTAATTAAGTTTATTTTGTTAAAAAGTTTAGTAAAAGCTAAAAAATAATATGTGAATTATTTTTTGTTAATATAAATTTAATATTTATGTTGTGTCATCACTTTTTATTTCCAGAATCCACCAAATTTTTTGAATAATAAATATCAACCAAAACAAGAATTAAAAACAGTTAAAGAAGAGCCTAAACCGGCTCCACTGCTTCCTCATGTTGATGAAAGGTAAAAAAAATGATTTAAACCAGTTTTAAATAATTCAAAATAAAAGTTAGAATTTTGATACAAATAAAAATTGAATTTGCTTAAATAATTAGTACAACATAACATGATATTAGTACAACATGATATGGTTTATATTTACTGCAAGAAATTTAAAAGTTGGAGCATGAATGCTCTAGTGTCTAAATTCCTTGCAGTTTAAACATAGAGCATGAATGCAATTATATTTATTATCTGTGCTTTTTGTGGTTTACTGTAGAATATAGAGTATAAGTTAGTAATTTGCGTAGTAATTTGAATAGTCTGTTAACATAATGGAAACAGGTACTTTATAAAACAAGTTGCTTTAGAATATTTTACAAAAGACTAAAAATAATTATGTTATACAATTGTGGTGGTTTTTCTTAGAACCCAGTACTCTATAATTTTATGATGTTCCTCACAGTTTATTACTATTTCTTATTGTAAACATATGTGTTACTTAGTGAAAACTTTATGATGTTTGCAGACATTTATCATTTCTATGTAAACATTTGTAGTGATTGTGCATATACTTAAATGTCAATGGCTCAATATACTAGATGATTTTTGTTTTGATTTTAAGTTGCTGCAGACATTTACAAAATGCATTATTCTGACTTATGATTTCATCTAATTATAAATCTATTTTCTTTGTTATCAAAATGACTTTACAGAATGTGACATTTTTTTAGTTTGATACTCTAAACATTTATATATAACTTGGTTTGTGCAGAAATAAAAATAATAGAGGAAGTTTGTGTACCTAGGGCCTCCTTGTACCTAGGGCCACCTGAAAACTAATAAGTTCTAGGTTATGCTTCTCAATAAGGTGATTAGTTATAAAAAATTTTATTTTCAATCCTATTTTGATTTTCAGAGAGCATTGCTACGGCAAGTTATAATTGGAAAACACTTTTTGATGGTCTAAATTAATTTTTTGCCACTGGTATCTTAGGATTGTTTTACAATCCTAGAGAAAATGTTTTTCTATAACTTCTTGTATATTATGTTGTTTGTTACTTAAGTACTAAATGCGATGTTTAATAAGTTTCCTCTAAATCCGGATAACGCTGGATAAACTTATTGAAAACATTATAAGATTAAATAAATTTTTAATCGAATTTATGTGTCTATCTTTGTTATCAATTTACTATGGAGTTAAACCCAATTTTTAGAGAGCAACTCTAGGTAAAATAGCTGTTTACTCTAGGTACAGTTAAAAAAATAGCTTTATGTACCTAGGGCCTCTAATTTTTAAACCCTTCTACATGAGGGACTTTTATAGTTTAAGTCAATGTACTTATACTATAAAATAGTTAGTATAGAGGTGTTATCAAATCAGTTTCACCATTTTTAGACTAGTCTGGGGCCTTGAATTTGGGCATTGAAAATTAATTTATTTAAAGGGATCCCAAAATGCTAAGACAAGTTGTGTTTATTTTAAAGAGAATGATAAAAAATGTTTGGGCAGAATTGTTTTCAGTAAAAAAAATTAATAAACATATACAAACAAAAACAAACTTTGTTGTTTTATTTGAAGCTCGCCATCTCCACAGTAGCAGTTCTCTCAAAGTATTTAAAATATTCGCTGCAATCTACAGACTTATTGTTTTATTTGTTTTTTAAAATAGCGTTTATTATCAATTGTATGACTTTCTTATTTTATAGGAAGCTAAATATAAGATTTTTTTTTTATAGAGCGCGAGAACCAAATAAAATTAAGATTTTTATATTTCACTATAAATATAATATATAAATAGTATAAATATATAAAAAAGTCGTTGATCACTTTATTATATATTCTGAATCTTTTTTTCTTTTTATGTGAAGCCAATTATTGCTATGACAATTTTGTTCTCCTATCAAAATAACATTTTACAAATTCTTAAATTCTTAATTAATAAAGAATTTTGGTAAACGACATCATTTATTAGAGATATTTGCTGAATTCTTAAATTTTTAGTTAAAAAATATTTATAGATTTTACACTTAACAAATTTACAGATAGCTTTTTATTAATAAAAGCAATAAATAATGTTTTATGGCAATAATTCAAGACAGATGGCGATTAAAATTGTCACGGCGCGCGTTAAAAAACATATTGTATTTAATACTTCCCAATTTATGTCGTATTCGGCAAGTATTTTTTATTAACCTGTCTTTTAAAATTACATATCAAAAAACTACCAAAATTGAAAATAAAAAGTTTTTCATTAAATGATTTCAATTTTATAATTTACTTGATAATGCTATACTTTTTTTGCAATCTTGACCAATAATTGTTCAATTTTAAAAATTAAATAAAATAAGCAATATTTTTTTTGCAGAATAAATTTCATTAAATATTTTCTTGCATGATTAAATAAGATATTCAAGAATACTTGTACCCGATTAAAAGCTGCTTTATTTTACAACTAAATTTAAAGAAGTTTTTTCAAGTTAGGATTACTCAAGATTTTTAAACTTTGTCAAGTGATAACTTTTTATAGTAACACAAAATGGCTCTTATTTGTATTTAAAAAATATATATTATAGAACATTTATTTTTGTAAACAAATGATAATAGTTTAAAAGGTTTACGGGTTTACAGATGTGGCTCCGAGAATGAGCCATAATATTAAAGTAATAGTTCATTTGATAATATATTCTTAAAAAATTTATGCTAGATATCTCAAAACGCAACAAATTGTAAATAATACAATTCCTAAAATATTTTAACAGAATACTCTAGAACTTTGTTTCGCTTAGTCAGCGTGTTTTTTGAACTAATAGAATTAGTTTGTTTACAAATTTGGCGGGTTTTTAGTGTTCGCGAATGTTCTTTTTATTCTTCCGCAAGATGTTTTTAAGAACATTCAAGTTAATTATGTTTCCATGTATGTCTGTAAAATAAAAAATAATATATAATAATTTTTTAATTTTTAAGCCCCTGCCATAATATATATTGGATGTTATAATAATGGAAATATAGATAATGAAATAAGATCACCTCAATACCAAAAAACACATTTTTGAAAATCAAAGAAAAAATGCATTAATAATTTTTTTTAATATTTACAAAGTGCATTATTATTTAGGTTAAAAATTATTTAATCTAATATTTTGAAAGAAAACTTATAACAAAAGAAATCAAAATACATGTGGTCTAGACGATTATTTCAAAAAAGTTGCGCAAATAAAATACTATTTTGTTTTTTATTTTTTTTTGCTTTTAATTTTATTTTGTTTTTAATTTTATTTTGTTTTTAATTTTATTTTGTTTTACAAACACATTTTAGAACTTTAAAATATAATAAAAATGAATATAATTTGGAAATTGTATGTAAAAAGTAACAATCGGTGTTTTAAAGAGAAAAAAAAAACTATGACGTCATGCACTAAAACTCCTATGAATTAAACGCGCTTGAATAAATTATCAAGTCTGTATAATGCGCCTGGAAAATCGCGTTTATTTAACATACTCAAAATACTGCAGAAAATGGAGAAGACGAGCTTCGACTAAAACAACAAGATTTGTTTTTCAGACGTTTTTTTTTAACATTCTTTTTAATATGAACAAAACATATCTTGGGACTTGGTAGTCCCTTTAAGAGCAAACAAATTATATGTGTCTAGAATAAAAACTTATGTACAAAACAAGATAAATTGTGAAGCATACTCGAAAGCGCTACCAGCGGCTTGCACTTAAAATGTCAGCAGCCTGCGGCAGTGTTAAATTATACAAAATGATTTTTTTTAAACAAATCTTAATAAGAATAATAATCATTTAATAGCAATAAATATATCACAAAAAAATTTATAGCAATAGGAGAGCTTAAAATATCTGAAATGTTTTATATTTTTAATGCGAACTTTGCAAAATTTAGAAAATAAAATAACTAAAGAAATTCTTCAGTAATTTATGATGAAAAGAACTTTTATATAAAAGTAAAAATATTCTTTAGTAATCTATAATAATGAATTTAAAAAATTTGATTAAATTTAATTAAAATAAAAAGAATTTTCAGATTTCTTAACAAAATTCTACAATGACGTCATTTACTAAAACTCTTTGGAATTAAACACGCTTGAATAAATTATAAAATCTGTAGATTGTGGCATATATTTTAAAGACTTTGAAAGAATAGCTACTGTGGAGACGGCAAGCTTTGAATAAAACAACAAAGTTTGTTTTTGTTGGTATACATTTATTATTTTGTTTAATTTAAAAAAATTCTACCCAAACATTTTTTTTTTTAAATTAACACAACTTATCTCTGTATTTTAAAATCACTTTAAGTCATTTTTATGTTTCTGAAAGTTACAGTTTTTCTGATTGTTGCATGATAAAAAAGTATCCTTGTAAAATGTTATTTTAACCATGAATTTATTTGCATAATTGAAATTAATTTAGCGTGAAAATGGAGCTAACATGTTCAAATTGTTGTTGGTCAGATTTTATACTTTATAAAATTTTATATTTCAAGAAAATAATGAAAAAACTTTCGCAATTTTTATGTAACGTAAGTTACAAAAACATGATAAAGTTTTGTTTTTTTAAGATTTAGTTAAAAAAAGTCAAGTTTTTTGATAATATATGCCAAAGAATTTTAAATGTTACGTTTTTGCATTTAAAGTTTTGAATAGCAATGCTTAGTTAAAGCAATTTTTATTTTAAACTTGAGTAAAGTAAGTTAAAACTACGTGCATTTACTAAAGTTCAGGCGCTTTTTTGTTAACAAAATAAATTACATCATTAAGTAATTCTAATTTCATCGCATTGGTTTGTCATGGTTTTAACTTTTTATATTAAAGGAATTTAGAAAAAAAATCTTTTTTTTTTTAATGTTAATTCAAGTTATTTATATTATTTTTTATTTTATTTGTTTATGTATTCTTATTTTGATTGACATAAATATACATAAATAAATAAAAATAATAATTATATAAGTATTTTTATTCGGACATTTAAAAAAAAAAGAAAAGAATAATTTGCTATTCTC